CTGATGCACCCGGGGCAGCCACCTCTTTTACCTACCCATCGGCCCGACCCAGCCCGGTCTACAGGGGCGCTCTGAGGTCCACCTGTGAGAATGTCTGGGGGCGGGGCATTCATCAATGTCCCCCCCCCAACTGTGTGCCGTGCTCACGCCCTCATCTTCCTTCTCTTAGTATCCTTGTTACTGACGCGTGTTTCAGCGTCTACATACATTGTGACGGAGCGCCTGCAGGTATAGACCCGGCTGTGCTTGGTGCTCCCTATTCTAGTCCAGGTATAGACCCGGCTGTGCTTGGTGCTCCCTATTCTAGTCCGGGTATAGACCCGGCTGTGTTTGGGACTCCCTATTCTAGTCCAGGTATAGACCCGGCTGTGTTTGATGCTCCCTATTCTAGTCCAGGTATAGACCCGGCTGTGTTTGGTGCTCCCTATTCTAGTCCAGGTATAGACCCGGCTGTGTTTGGTGCTCCCTATTCTAGTCCAGGTATAGACCCGGCTGTGTTTGGGACTCCCTATTCTAGTCCAGGTATAGACCCGGCTGTGTTTGGTGCTCCCTATTCTAGTCCAGGTATAGACCCGGCTGTTCTCCCTATTATAGTCCAGGTATAGACCCGGCTGTGTTTGGTGCTCCCTATTATAGTCCAGGTATAGACCCGGCTGTGTTTGGTGCTCCCTATTATAGTCCAGGTATAGACCCGGCTGTGTTTGGTGCTCCCTATTATAGTCCAGGTATAGACCCGGCTGTGTTTGGTGCTCCCTATTCTAGTCCAGGTATAGACCCGGCTGTGTTTGGTGCTCCCTATTCTAGTCCAGGTATAGACCCGGCTGTGTTTGGTGCTCCCTATTCTAGTCCAGGTATAGACCCGGCTGTGTTTGGTGCCTGGGATGAGACAATGTTGTCCCCGGTTCCATCTTTCTCATTTACTTCAGTACAACGATCCCTAATTATAGTAATTACACATTTCCGCTTCTTCTCACCAAAGTCTCTCCCTCTTCAGACATTCACAACTTTTATCTGCGGCTCCTTCTTGGGTTTGGTTGGAGTTTAAGCCGCTGATCTCTCTCCCGCGTGTTCTTTGTGTGTGCAGTCTCTGATCCCTACCTGGTATATTGTATATCTCTGATCCCTACCGGATATATTGTATATCTCTGATCCCTACCGGATATATTGTAGATCTCTGGTTGTCGCGTTGTAGATCTCTGGTTGTCGCGCTGTAGATCTCTGGTTGTCGCGTTGTAGATCTCTGGTTGTCGCGCTGTAGATCTCTGGTTGTCGCGTTGTAGATCTCTGGTTGTCGCGTTGTAGGTCTCTGGTTGTCGCGTTGTAGATCTCTGGTTGTCGCGTTGTAGATCTGATTGCACACAGTCATAATTCCCCCATTTCTTTATTTTCTAGCTCCTCCGTCCTTCACTGAGACCCCCCCGCAGTACCTGGAGGTGAAGGAAGGAAGTAGCGTCACTTTAACTTGCACTGCTTTTGGGAACCCAAAGCCAACTGTCACGTGGCTGCGAGAGGGCGAGTTCCTCGGGGGAACCCCAAAATATCAGGTGGGTAACTGAACTTCCTGTAATGTGGGGGGTTAGTCGGTACTTTGAGTGTGACTTGTAATGGAGACGGGCGTGTATTGTGGGAGAAGCAGTTCACAGTACGCGGCTTCTAGTACAAGGTAACGGCGTCTCATCTGCTCCGGGCTGCCATGTCCCCGGGGTGTGCCCTCGCTGCCTGGCCTCCAGGTGACAACATGGCCTGTTTTTGGGCAGCTGAGGTAATGTTTCTTCTGTCCCCAGGGCCGCCTTTCATTGTTTCCCCTCCTGAGAACATCACCGTTAACATTTCCCAGGATGCTCTGTTCACATGCCAGGCTGAAGCGTATCCAGGAAACCTCACCTATACCTGGAATAGTATATAGGGTGTGTGTGTGTGTATAGGGTGTGTGTGTGTGTGTGTGTATGGTATATAGGGTGTGTATGTGTGTGTGTGTATAGTATATAGGGTGTGTCTGTGTATAGTATATAGGGTGTGTGTGTGTGTATAGGGTGTGTGTGTGTATGGTATATAGGGTGTGTATGTGTGTGTGTATAGTATATAGGGTGTGTGTGTGTATGGTATATAGTGTGTGTGTGTGTATAGTATATAGTGTGTGTGTGTGTATAGTATATAGGATGTGTGTGTGTGTGTGTATAGTATATAGTGTATAGTATATAGTGTGTGTATAGTATATAGTGTGTGTGTGTGTGTATAGTATATAGGATGTGTGTGTGTGTGTGTATAGTGTATAGTGTATAGTATATAGTGTGTGTGTGTGTGTGTGTGTGTATATACAGGTTGTGGGATGTGTAAAAATCGGCTCCGCACTGTACACTTTATGATTTGGCGGTTGGCGTGGGAATTGTACGGTGTAGAAGCGCGGTATGGCGGCCTCCTCTGACCTCGCACGTCTTACATGCGTTATGTTTTCTCTCTGGTGACAGTGACCTGAAGCTGAGGGTCCGGATTCTCATCGATGGGACGCTCATTATATTCAGGGTCAAACCAGAGGATCTCTTGATAAATGGCCGGGGGCCCATGTACCGCTCTTGATAAATGGCCGGGGCCCATGTACCGCTCTTGATAAATGGCCGGGGGCCCATGTACCGCTCTTGATAAATGGCCGGGGGCCCACGTACCGCTCTTGATAAATGGCCGGGGCCCACGTACCGCTCTTGATAAATGGGAATATTAAAGTGACTCTTGAGAGTTCTGTTTCATCCATCACCTTTACAGATCCTGCACGAGTAATCAACATGCCACCCGTTATCTACGTTCCGGTCGGTATTCATGGTCAAATTCGCTGCCCTGTGGACGCTGTGCCGCCTGTCACCCATGTGAAGTGGAATAAAGATGGCCGACCCCTGAAGATGGACAAGGTTGGTGATGGGGATTGTGGTGGAGTTCCCCTTTCATCCCGCCCTTCTCCCCCACTGAGGGTCAGATGCCATTTGTGATCCAGTCGATGGGCGGGGGGGATTTGGTGGTTGGCCGGTGAAGGAGAGGCGGTCAGGTGGGCTGGTTTCTGCAGCAAACACGGAGCCAACGGGAGGTTTGGTCATCCAAAGAGCAAAGGGGGGAGGGGCTACTTTCTGTACATTCTATAATATGGTGTAAATGGTTCCTCCCATCTCATCCCTCTCTGTCACTGACCCATTGATGGCACTCAGAATACGGGGGTCCCCTAGGAGATTTAGGGGTTCCAAAGTGTCTCTGTAGTTTGGCTTTGCCCCAGTCTATGGGAGTACAAACACTGGGACCTGCCTAGCAATAGTGAGGACCTCAGCTGGAGGTTGTACCATCCGTGTCAGATGCACACATTGCAGATGCATGTGGGGTGGGAGGAGGAGGATGAACGTCCGTGTTCTCACCCCTGCAGATATTGCAGCTCTCACTTTACTCTTCAGTCCTAATGTTGGTACTCTCGTAGATCAGAGGGCACTGCTTGTATTACAATATTAGACCTGTCCTGAAGGTCTGAGTACTGGGATTGAGCGGGTGCCATGTTCTGGTTGCTCCACTTGCCTTTCTCTCTCTCTCTTCTTTTCAGCTGTCCAGTTGGAAGATGTTGGACGACGGATCTATTCACATCGAGGAGGCGACGGAAGAGTTGCTGGGCACTTACACCTGCGTGCCTTACAATGCGCTGGGGACCATGGGCCAGTCCCCTCCTGCACGGCTGCTGCTGAAGGTACGCCGAGTGAGGGGGGAGGGGGACGGCGGTGTCTCCAGAACTCAAACTCTTCTGTCTGTTCTCTGCGCTGTGCGGTTTTATGTTTGTATGCAGGGTCAGTCATGCGTGTGCCTATTGTGTCACCACCCTCCCAGCACATACATGTATAGGAAGCAGCTGCTGGATCATAAAGGGCTCTCCTACCTTCCCGACAAGTGACCTGCCCTGACCTTCTAGAACAGGGGTGCCCATTAGGTAGATCGCAAAGCGAACACTGGTAGATCCCGATCGGCTCACTGACCTGCGTCCTGTCCTCCCGCGGTGCTCGTGCGGCTGAATGTGTCAGACCCCGCAGACGAGAAGGAGAGGGGAGAGGAGACTTGGGAAGCTGCTGCAGTGGAGGTAAGAAAAGACAGACGGGAGAGAGAGACAGCATATAGAAACAGGGGAGAGGGAGAAGAGAGTTCACGCCACAAAGTTTGCGTTCCAGCATTTTCGGCCTCTAGAACGCACTGAAACGGCGGTGCATTGAAGTCAATGGCACTGTAGCCACGCCCCCCCCACCCTCCCACCCACAGCGTGATCGTATCACCCGCATCCGGAACACAGGCACATTAATGCCTGCGTTCCACTCCAGTGCGATCTGCAAAAATAGCGCACGCAGCACTAATCTGCCTGTATTCCGGGTGCTGGCGATTGCACTGGGGGGCGTGGCTGCGGTGCCATTGACTTCAATGCGCTGTCACGCCCCCTCCCAACCCTGAACGCAGGTGCTTTTTGTTAGTAGATCTCATTGAGCTCGTCATTTGAAAAGTAGATCTCCAGACGAAAAATTGTGGGCGCCCCTGTTCTAGAAGGTCACCCCAAATATGTATCCCCTTCCTCAGCTCGCATCATGGAATAGCCCCTCGGTGATTGGCCAAGATAGAATATTCATAAGCCGATACAGTGTATCTTCTCGTTCTGTCTAATGGAGAAGGCCTCATTCACACTGCCGCACATATACGCGATTATTGTCCCACATGCAAATAAATGGCTCCATACACGCAGCCGCGCATGGAGCCGTATATTTGCGTAGCGTAAACATGCGCAAAAACAGAATGGAACCGAGATGCGTCCGGGCTGCGTATTTACGCGCATGTATACGCCTACAGCACATGAAAAATTCCATTAAGAGTGATGCATTCTGGGATTGCGCATAGAGCACGCATATACGCAGGTACATACGCGTATATATACGCAATATACAATTTTGGTCTTGCGTTGTGTGTGAATGAGGCCGAAAACTCCCCAAAACCAGACAGAAGCAATCAATGTCCTGAGCTTAGAAGACACCAAATGATCCCAGAGAACCTAAACAAAGCTCAGGCTGGATGCTGATTAAGCTGGAGGGGTTAGGGACACTCCAGCTTAAAGTGACATTAAACCCTCAGATTGTGTAACATAAAACAATACTGTAATGTGCGCCTTACTGTAATCCATGGTAGTTTCCCTTCTCTTTGCTGCTCTTCCTTTTAAATCCTCATGTCTTCTCATGCTGGGGGAGAACTTCCCTTTTCAGCTCAGGGCCTCTTCCTGTAGTGCTGGCTCAGGGCCTCTTCCTGTAGTGCTGGCTCAGGTTACAAGCCTATACAAATCTATACACAGACACCGTGTATCCATTCCAGAGACAAGGCAGTCTGCTGCAAAACAGAAGTTCTCCCCCAGCATGAGAACAGATACAGATTTAAAAGGAAGAGCAGCAAAGAGAAGGGA